TAACCAAGCAAAAATCCTGAACTTCATTATAACTGGATCGACTTGAATAACGTGCTTAGGACTGAAGTACCCAATGAGTGTGGCCAGAAGACCACAGGCTGACTGGTTGAGACCCTTGAATTGATCACAGTGGCTGAGGGGGGAAGTTATGCTGATGGATTTAGAGCGATGGTTCTCAAAATGTGTTCCCTGACCAGTTACATCAGCATCTCCTGGAAACTTGTTAGAAATGCAAATACTCTGGCTCCACCCCAGACCAGCTGAACCAGAAACTCTGGGATGGTGCCTAGCAATCCGTGTTTAACCAGTCCTCCAGGTGATTCTCATGAAAGCTAAAGTTTGTGAGCCACTGGTTTAAACCATCAGATCCTACCTGTAAAGCCTAGAGTGGCGTGAATCCCGTTTATTTCACTGGCTGCCACACAATTAGAAAATGGTGGAGTGGAGGCCTGAGAAAGTACCGTCAAAATACTGTAGAAGGAGAAGGCTCCAGAAGGGGACAGTTCATTTCACTTCTTACTTCCTATGGTAAGGCTATGAAGTAGAAAACACAGTAATGAGTGCTTCAGCCTAGCAACATGGTTTGAAGATGACTTCTGCTGCCCATATTTATTAGTTTCCAGGGCTTGAAGAAAAAGAAATGCCCAACATTAACCTTCCCGTTCTCTGTGGGCCCTAACCCACTTTCCCTGGGGAAATTGGACAAATATATACATACAGGTTTTAGAGCAGTAAAGCTACTTAGCAGTTAAGACTGCATTGAAGAAGACATTCTCTAGGAAGGTTTCTTAATCATGGCTAATCCTAAGAGTCGCCTGGAGTAAGGTTACAAGTCCAGCCTCTTGGGCTGGACTAGACCTACAGTCAGGATCTCCAAGGGAGGGACCTGGGAATCTGTGTTTTTAACACACATTTCCAGGAATTCTTTTTTTTTTTTGGCGGTATGCGGGCCTCTCACTGTTGTGGCCTCTCCTGTTGCGGGGCACAGGCTCCGGACGCACAGGCTCCACGGCATGTGGGATCTTCCCGGACCGGGGCACGAATCCGTGTCCCCTGCATCGGCAGGTGGACTCTCAACCACTGTGCCACCAGGGAAGCCCGAGGGATTTTTTTTTTTAATAAATTTATTTATTTTTGGCTGCATTGTGTCTTTGTTGCTGGGCAGGGGCTTTCTCTAGTTGCAGAGAGCGGGGGCTACTCTTCGTTGTGGTGCTTGGGCCTCTCATTGCGGTGGTTTCTCTTGTTGCAGTGCGTGGGTTCCAGGCACGCGGGCTTCAGCAGTTGTGGCTCACAGGCTTAGTTGCTCCGCGGCATGTGGGATCTTCCTGGACCAGGGCTCGAGCCCGTGTCCCCCACATTGGCAAGCAGATTCTTAACCACCGCGCCACCAGGGGAGTCCCCAGGGACTCTTATGGATTGACCATGGTTGGAAAACACTGTTCTAAAAGCTGTATGCAGGGCTTCCCTGGTGACGCAGTGGTTCAGAGTCCACCTGCCGATGCAGGGGACATGGGTTCGTGCCCCGGTCCGGGCAGATCCCGCATGCCGTGGAGCGGCTGGGCGCGTGAGCCATGGCCGCTGAGCCTGCGCATCCAGAGCCTGTGCTCCGCAACGGGAGAGGCCACAACAGTGAGAGGCCCGCGTACCGCAAAATAAATAACTTAATTAATTAATTAATTAAAGCTATATGCAGAGGACTGGGGAGAAAAATCTCATGGAAGAATTACGTGAATATTTCTGACTGCAAATAATAGCTTCTTCCTGTCCTTTTTTGGTGCCTTCCGTCACTACCAGGGCCTCTAACTATTCTTCCTCTAGTCTCATCCTACACTGCTTCCCAAAGAAGTCACCCTACAGACCACTTCACGTCAGAGTTCTAAAACACACTGCATGTCAGGCCTCTGATCACATCCTATCACGGTAGAAATCCATCACAAGTCCTCACCATGGCCAACAGCATCAAGTCCGAAGTGTTGGCATGAAAGGGGGGGAGATAAATTAGGAGTCTGGGGTTAACAGATATGCAATGCTATATATAAAATAAATGAACGACAAGGACCTACTATACAGCACAGGGAACTATATTCAATATCTTGTAATAACCTATAATGGAAAAGAATCTGACAAAGAATATATACATATTCTCACATATATGTATATGTATAACTGAATCACTTTGCTATACACCTGAAACTAACACAACATTGTAAATCAACTATACTTTAATTTAAAAAAAATTTTTTTAAATGCAAAAAAAAAAGTGTTGGCATTTCATACACATTTCCATATAATCCAGGCCCTGACTTTCTTCCTTAGCCTTACCTCCTGCTGTCAGCCCACTGCAACCCCATTATGGAACCATCCTGAAGCCCCTGCATTTCCTCAACACTTGATGTTCTCTTTGTCTTTGTTCCCTCTGTTCACCAAGGTCTTCCTTCCCCCTTCACCCAGAGTATCAGTCAAGTTAACAAACGAGAGGTCATGTGCGGTAACAAAAGCTCAGTAGATAAAGACAGCAAAGGTTTATTTTTCACTCAGTGTCAGGAGGTGGTAAGTTTTTTCTCTAAAGACCCAGATGGTAAGTATTACACACTTGGTGAACAACATACAATTTCTGTTGCCTTTTCTTCTTCTTCACTTTTTTGTATAACTCTTTAAAAAATGTAAAAACCACTCTTTTTCATAGGTCATACAGAAACAGGTCACTGGCCATCTGCTGACCTCTACGCTACATGATCATTGCCAGAGACATGGAGACAGCAGAGAACTGCTCAGTCTAGTCATTCAGACCAGGCTAATGGAGCAGCCATCTCTTGAGCATCTCTAGTCACCATGCAGACCAAAAGAGAGGGTCTCATGCAAGTCCCACTAAATGCCCCAGTCCAGAAGTGACACCCTAGAACTTCTGCTCACAAATAATTGGCCAAATTTGGTCTTTCAGCCCCACCTAACTATAATGGAGCCAGGAAGTGCAATCCTACCATGTGTCCAGCAGTAAAGAGAATTGGAATTGCTTGGTAAAAGTCATGACTTCAGCTCAGAGACAAGTGCTCTGGAAAGCCTTTTCTGACACTCTGGTCCCCCAGTCAGATTAGCTACTCTTTGCCTATAACCTTATAGCACGTTGAAGCCTAAGCGTGTGCTGTGCATAGGGTACCACAATCGCCAACTTCTCTGCCTCCCCCACCAGATCCTGAGCTTCCTTAGACAAGCATCTCCGTATACCTACTGCCTAGCACAGCGCCTGCTACCCAGGGATGCTCAGTGTGTGTTGCTTCAACAACTTAACGAATGTGGTAGATTGTGGGAGTGGGGTTGCCTATGCATTTACCTGAAGGCTCTGTATGCAGCAGTGTCAGCCACTGTGAGCCTAGTTCAACCACACCCATCTCCACTCATGATAAATTTATCATTTTGGTTATTCGGTTACTTTCTATATTAATCAAATTCACTCTTCCTTACAACCTTTCCTTCTAATAATCAACACTTTGCGGAGAGCTGGTCCTTGAGGCCACAGAGCACTTTGACTTTATGTGAACTGGTTTTGTGTCCAGTTTGTAGGTCAGAAGGCAGGCACAGAGAGGCACTGAGATTTTCCCAAGTTACACAGCCAGTAAGAGGTAGAGCCAAAAGTTATGCTTCCTTTTGATCCAACAAGAGAGCTACAGGGTTGAACACAGAGCCGCAGCTAAGTGCACCAACAGGTTATTTATATCCTTTGGAGAGATAGAAAGCATAACGTGTATGTCAAAGGTAAATCTTATTATACCATATCAGTGTTCAGCTTATAGTATACATATTTATCTCTGAGTAAAATATTAGAAGCAAACCACACGACTATATTAATGTGCTCTTTCAGAACCCCGAGAATATTGAAAATGCCACACACCTGTTTTACCACCATCCCTTAATGCCTGCTAGGTGAGCAACACCTTCACTACTAATGGCATAAAGCAGAGCTCAACTCAGTTTCACACGCAACACATGTGCGTCTGCTGCAGTCTGTATCAAACGTGTAACCACAGAGCGAGCAAAACAGAGTTCAAAATGAACTGTAGTGCAAGTCTCCACCAATACATATTGACAGAGTTAAGCCCCTTCGTGTAGACCATTCACAATCTGGGTATCCTCTGACCCCACCCCAAAGTGTATCCTGACCTGGAATTTTCCTCTCCTCTCCATCTCCTGGATCCAGTAAGTTCCTAATAAACATCCCATCTGATGGTTAGCCTTGACAAATGCCCTGGAGCACCAAGACAAGAGGAATATAGCTAGCCAGGAGCCCTCTACTTGTCACATCATCGACAGAATAGCGTCAGAGCTGATCCCATTGAAATCGGTGGAGTTTGAGTCATTCGAGATCGAAACTACTTTTTAAAAATATACAAACCCTTTATTTAAGAAGGTGAAATAGCCCGGTGTGTCCTCCCCGTCTGGTTAAATGGGGACAACCAGGGGAAATTGTGCAAGAAAACTGAAGTATACAAAAGCAAATTACAGGCTCAGTATTGCCAGACACAAAACAGGAATCAATCCTTTACAGGAGTCTTGCCTTTGCTTCCTTCTTTCTTTCCTTGAGCCTTGTAATTGAATGTTGCAAACTATATCAAGAAGAATAAACCGGGTTTCCCCTCCCCCAAGCAAGAAAAGGTTAAGCTTCTAATTACAGGCCCTCTGACTATCATTTGTGCAATTAGCAATTAACTATAATCGTTGATGAGAGAATGCAGAGCTGCGCTAGCGATATCCCCCTCCTCCTCAGTCCAGACTGGGTTACTTTCGTCCCATTCTGTTACAGAGGACCAACCACAACCGCGCGCACTCTCCTTACACACACGCTCTCACTTAAAGACACATTTAATTTTTAGCAAAAATGGCATCTTAGCGTTTGACTGAGACAGGCATCCCCAACCCCACACCAAAGTAGCCCAAACGTTTAGATCCACTCCTCTTCATCACTTTTAAGTGGAGAGAGGAGGCCCAAGAAAGAAGCTACCTACCAGCCTCACAGGACCAGCCTCCTTTGAGGCGCAGGAGAAGGTGGTAGAGAGACGCTTGTTGCCCCTGGAAACTGCAAGTCCCCCCCTCCGGGCTGTAAGCCGCGTTAGTGGGAAGGCGGTGGCAATAGCCTCAGTAGTTGCATCAGTGCTAACTGCTGCTGCTGCTGCATTTACGGTTGGCGGCTGCCGGGAAGGTACAGTAATGACTGTAGGGAGCGCACAGCTGCTGCGGCGGCAGGTTCCCTGGATCAGGAAATTAGGGCAGGCACCGGGGATTGGAGGCGAGGGCGGCGCGCGAGCCAACCAGCGGCCGCCCCGGGCCCCCGTGAGCCCCGGGCGGACGCGCGGAGCAGCCGGGCCCCGGGAGCACTCCGGGTGGCAGCGGCGGCCACGGCCACGGCCACTCACGCTCACACTCGAACGCACACTCACACAACCCCGACGCAGGAACCTGGCTGCCCCGAGCTTATAAGAGGAGCGCGTCGAGGGTGGGGAGGGAGGGCTGAAGCCGCCGCGCCCGCCCCCACCCCCCGCTGACCACTCCCCCTCCTGCCCCCTCCTCGCTCCTCACCCCGCGCTCCAGCGGCCGCCAGGGTGGGTGCTCCGCGGCCGGCTCCTCTCTCTTCTGTCTTCTCCGCTCTCGGCTCCCCACCCCCTCTCCCTTTCTCCCCTCCTCTTCCCTCCCCTCCTCTGCAGCGCCTGCATTATTTTCTGCCCGCGGGCTCGGCTTGCACTACCGCTGCAGCCCGGGGAGGTAGGTGGGTGGGTGGGTTGGCTGGTGGGGGGTAGATTGTGCAAGTTGTAGGGGAGGGGGTGCGCCTCTTCTTCCCTGCTCCCTTTACCCCCCCTTCGAACTCCTTCCCCTCCTCCCCTTCCCCCTCCTCCCTCCCCGCCCCCACCTCCTTCCTCCTTTCCGAAGGGCTGGTAACTTGTTGTGCGGAGCGAGCGGCGGCGGCGGCGGCGGCACCATCCAGACGGGCACCATGGGCACGTCCGCGCGCTGGGCGCTCTGGCTGCTGCTCGCGCTGTGCTGGGCGCCCCGGGAGAGCGGCACCACCGGAGCGGGTGAGTGAGGACGCGCCCCTCCGCGGCCTGCCCGGACCCAGCCGGGGCGCCAGGGGGCCCCGAGGCGCGGGTCTCCTTTTGCCCACCCCCCTCCTAGGAGGCGCCTCTTCACTCTCGTCGCCTTCTCTCCTCCCCACCCTGGTGGCGCCTCTGAGCTGTCAGCACCGCGGCTCCCGGGAGCCAGGCTGGGGGGATAGTGGGATTTGGGGTGTCCTAAAGCCTTGCCCGAACTAGTCTTCATTCCCTTACACTGCCTCCCCTAAAACCTGTGCTTTGCCTCGTTTTTCACTCCGCTTGGCCGGGGATGGGGAATATGGGCTTCTGAGCCGTTGAACAATGGTTGTGTCTCTTCTGCCAGGCAGAGTGTTAGGAAGGAGGCAGGGGGCCGGGTGGGCCGGGACGTGCGCGGCAGCCCCCGGACCGCCCCTCGGACTTCACGGAGGGTGGGAGCGGGCGGTGGGTGAGGAAGGGCGCCTCCGGCGATGCGGGGCGCCGGGTGCCGACCGGGAGTGGGGTTCCCCGCGGCGGTGAGGAACCCGCATGTTCGGTGGGCTGCCGCCGGGAGTCTCCGCCGAGCGGCTAGAAGTGCGCAGCCTGCGCACCCGGACTGCGACTCCCCGGGCGCCGGGCAGTCTCAGTGTAGTGCGGGTTAGAGGAAGAGTGAGGCTTGAATCAAATAGGACTCACCTCTAGATGTTTCTCCGCTCTCCGGGGAGCGTTTGTAAACCTCTCGGGTCTCCAGGATAGCTGAACGGGGGAGGGGAGTGGAACGAAGACTTAATCAGGTTAGTTTGCTGAGCCTCGTTCCCGGTGAGATTTCCTCGAGAGGAATTGGGTCCTTATCTGGTGACTGTAATTAGCCTTCATTCTAACCAGTAGATCAAAGGGAATAGCACGAGAGCTGGGAGAGCTGGTGTGTGACTGTGGCTTGTTGGGGAGGGCGGTGGGGACAACTGTCGGGTCCCCAGGGTGTGCCGCACTGGGCCTGGGAGCCCTGTCCTCAGCCACTCTCTCATTTGGGGCCGCACAACTTTCTCAGGCAGGCGACAAGAAGCCCTTCTAAGAGGATTCGGTGAGAATCCTGGCAGGTCCCTGAAGTGATCTCGACATGACACCAAGGGGCTGGCTCGCCAGCTCTGGGGAAATGGGACGGAAAACTGCCCCCGTCCTAAGTACCCACTCCAGAGTCCCTAGCTCCTGTCGCCCGGTGGCTTGGGAGACCCGCCTGCCCGCAGTCACGAGTCTCCTGAAGTGAGAGCGAACTTTAATGTATGGTCAAGCAGCCCCTCAAGCAATACTTGTGGGGGTTGAGTCTCCGAATGCCCCCTGCCCTTAGGTTCTGACTGTCCCGAGCGTGAGAAGCTGGGACGGGCTTTTCTGCGCTCTGCGATTGGCTGGCCGCCTGATCACGTTTAGGTTGGTCACGTGGCTCCGCGGGCTCGTAATTTAGCAGCCTGAGAAATGTTATCTTTAAGGGAACGTGAAAAACTGACAGGCTCCAATGGACTGTTCTCTCAAATGCTTTCCCCTGCCTGGACTCCTTGAAAAACGGCGAGTGTCTAGTGAAGATGACCCCTGATGTGTAACCAAACTAAGAGATTGGAAAAGCCCTGTAATGTTTTCAGACTCTAACATTAATCATTAATGGTTGAGCAATACTAACTTATTAAACGATTTCTCAGAGTAGTGCCATGGCTTACATTACACCTTTCATATCATTTCAAAAGACTCCGATATACCAGAAACCACTGATGACTGTCCAGAAAGGTGGGAGAGAAGATTCGTTTTTGCTGCGTTCTTTTCATATTCTTTTAATTTAATGTATAATAACTTTCCACTAGAGGTTAACTTTATCCTATAGAACGCTATGAATGCACCTGAATTGTCGAAATGAGTTAGTTGAAGCCATATGTTCACCTTGTATCAGGTAGGTGAGCCTCCCTTTTGCTCCCCTAGGTCACATGTGAAATCTGTGACATGCCATGAACAGCGGAAAATAGAAGCCCATGTAAGACTTAAATTCTTCGAAGGAAAGGAGACACATCCTTTCTGAGCTGGAGGAAATTTGGGGTTGGCTGAGGCAGGTATTGACCCTAAGCTAACCCAGGCTGGCTCCTGTCTGAAGTTCAAAGCCCCAAGGCATATGGACTGACTTTCTGGCCCTGGTCTTCTACACTCTGCCCATACACACGCATGACGCTGGTCTAAAATACTCTAGGACAGGGCACGTGTGCTTTAAGACTCTGCCAAGGAACTTAAGTCAGGCTAACAAGAGAAATTAAAATTCAGTAATGGAGCATACCTGATGGAAAAAAAATCCCTGGGAGTTCTAGGACATTTTCCTCCAGCCTAGATAGTCAAGATTAGGATCTGGGGTACTATATATTCATTAAGGCCAGAGCCTAGAAGAACCAGGGTTTTGTGAGAGCTATTCAGATATGGCTAACCACCAACAAAAGAGTCAACGGAACTTCTCCTCTTGTGGGGAGTGGGTTGGTGAAATTGGCAGTACCTGGAGGGACAGGAGACCGGAGGGCAGAGGGAAAATAAACCTGACTTATCCAGATAGCACCAAGAGGAGATATGACAATAATCGTAATCCTCATCTAGATCAAAGAATGAGCATGTGAGCAGGGACTCTTTAAAGGAGGGTGACCAGTCAGGCCTTCATTGGCAATGACGGCTGCCCGTGGTCTGGAGCAGCATTGCTCCCCAGATCACCCCTTTGCCCAATTCACGTTACATTTAGCTATGTACCTGCCCTGGCTCATTTTGGTTCTTTGCTCGAATTGTTTGGAGTCCCTAGATACCTAAAGCACGTATAAAGGCCAAGTTCAGTAGGGCTGCCAAATGTTAGGACTTCAATATAACCATACTGTGTATTTTAATTATAGCAGCCTCCGTGCTCAAAAGAAGTGCTTCTGCCTTTTATAAAACTGGATACCCATAAACCCAGTCTCACTTGAGTAGTTCTGTTACAGTTCTAGGAGAGGTGAAAAATAGTCACAAGCCCCTTCTGTTCCAGGAGGAATGTCAAACTGATCAGACTTAGCAAGAACTCCTAGAGTAGAGCACAACCAGAAGATCAAGGGAACAGCCCCCAGCCGTAGGGCTTCGGGTTTTGGTCCAGAGACCGGAAGACCTGGAGCACCACATAGAAATGTAGATATTAGCTATTTAGACCATTTTCTAGTTCTTACAGAATGTGAATAAAGTTGTCCCTCTCTAGAGGGAATAGTGATCAAATTTAGGTGGTCATCTATACAATTTCGAGTCATAATTGAATTTACTTTGGATACTGACCTTTCTTTGGAAAGCCACCTTCACATTACTAGGCTATAAAAAATTAAATCCCTCAAAGGACTATGATAAGCTCTACAATGAAGCTTATGATAAAAGTTCCTGCCTTAGAAGCATTTCCCAGGGTGGGCTAATACAGCTGCTCTCCAGGTGGTTATGTGATAGACTCAAAATTGCTTCGTTTGTTCCTGTCTGTGCTTAAGCCACGGCACGGAGACTACTTTCAAGAGAAAGAGTCCAAGAATACCTTGGGCAGAGATGGATGAGATGTACCTGTTGAGCAGAAGTAAGTGGTCCAGGGGCAGTTTTTTGGCCCACCTAAAGAGTTGTTGGCTAGGAAATCTGAAGACTGATAGCTTTTCGTAGGACTTAAAGACAGAGGAATGACTTAGCTCTAGGAGAATCTGGCTTTGTAAATGACAATTACCTCAGTTTCACTCTGCATTTTTTCAGTCCGAATTGGTGTCTCTGCTAAGCTTTTCTGTTGGTTTTCAATAAAAATTCTAAACATTGTTAACACTGCCTAGTTAGATACACTAGATGCACTGCAGGGACTAAATGAGATGGCAGGTGATACCTTAAACTTAGCACACGTTTCCCTTCATGTGAAGTTTCCTAGAAAAGTTTGGGCCTGATGGCTATATGGTGGCTCTAAATTAACAAGAGAATGCCTGCCAGGTGCTGGGAGAATAAATACAGCGATTCTGCTAGAAGTGGCTTAATATCTGCTTAGAGATCCTTTGCCCACTTTGTATTTTAAAGATGCTGCATGGGTGGGCGGAGCAGGGAAAGGGCATTCATGGCCCTGTATTTAAGAGAGAACTTTGGGGGCAGAAACTATAAGATAGGACCATGGTTGTGGGAGAGGGAGGGGTGGGCTATCGGGTCGGGCTTGTAATTTGCCAAACAAGGGAGGC